GTGATGTACTGACCATGTTGTGTTACTAGAGTGAATGATGTACTGACCATGTTGTGTTACTCGAGTGAGTGATGGTGTACTGACTGTGTTATCTTACTAGAAAGATAGCTAGAGTGATGGTGTACTGATTGTGTTATCTTACTTAGCTCACACTTCTCTGATGGGAAATGACTGATAGTTTTTAACCCTTAAACTGTCCAAACGCAGATCCACATGCATAGCACTCCCAACGTTGATCTATGTTTTTTACATTTGAAAGCATGTAAAATAAAACGTAGATCTACGTTCAGAGTGCTACACACCTGAACGTAGATCTACGTTCAGAGTGCTACACACCTGAATGTAGATCTACGTTAAGAGTGCTACACACCTGAATGTAGATCTACGTTCAGAGTGCTACGCACCTGAACGTAGATCTACGTTCAGAGTGCTACGCACCTGAACGTAGATCTACGTTCAGAGTGCTACACACCTGAATGTAGATCTACGTTCAGAGTTGCTACACACCTGAACGTAGATTCTACGTTTGGACAGTTTAATGGTTAAAAAATCTTTGAAGGAGAATCACTGTAGAAATTTACACTGTACATTCCTTCATTATACTACAAAGTAAAGTGTTAGTAATAACTGGAAGGTTATATGCTAAATGATACATTACGTATGTATTATATTTGTGTTTACATTCTCTTTAATTTAATTTTTTAATATATTTTTCATAATTTGATAGTTTTGTTGGTTATTTTATATCTATGAATATCTAAAATAAACTTTGATGTTGGGTTTAAAGTAAGTATAGACATTATAGCTGTTGTTTTGTTTAATATAATTTAACATTACAGTAATAAAATTTAATAAAATTATTTAATAGAATTACAGTTTAACATTAAGACATACTTTCTAAATTGATTTAAAATGCTACTCAGTATTTTGCACCAGGAGGCTCAGGCCTCCCTGGCCTAATTTTTTTTTTTAATAATATAAAAAGTATGATTTACAGTATGGTATTCTCTTTCTCTTGATTCATTAACAGTTTACTGTAAAAAAACTTTGCTAATGAACACCACAAATGAAAAGAATTTGTCCTATTAAGTCAAGTTCTTTTCCAAATGTGATGATAACAAGTTCCAAACTTTAGCGTTCCTTCAAGTTCTCGTACAAATGCTACGGCCCCCATATCCATGGATTCGATATCCGTGGTTTCAGTTATTCACTGTTTACTTTGGCCGAAAAATAACTTTTAAATTTGCTTAATCCAGGTGTCATTGCCTCCACAACCCAGTCCCTGATCAAATCTCATAATTACTATCCTGATTGAATAGACTGTTGGTGCTGGGCCTTATGCAGTCCAATTTATGCACCCAAGCCCAGCTGATTAGGAACTAATCTGATGAACTTTTTAAGTTTCCTCTTAATGAGGGGCATGCCAGTAGCCCCAAAACACAAAAAGTAGAGAAGCTGGTGGTTCTTCCAAGTCTAAGAGAAGCCGTAAGGTGCTTCCTGTCGGTGAAAGTGATAATTCTAGACTTTTTTTTTGCACAATTTATCAATTAAAATTTATCATAGGTATGTATGTATGTAAAGAAAAACTGACTTATATATAGGGTTCGCTACTATCCATGCTTTCAAGTATCCATGGTAGGTCTTGGAATGTATCCCCCGTGGATACAGGGGAGACTAGTGTATTATGTTAATTCTCTTTTAAATGTGATCCAAAGTAACATTGAGTTTCCTTCTAAATGTAATACTAAGTTAATATCAAGATATTTTAGTCTTGATAATACTAAATTGTTATCAAGATATTTTAGTCTTGATAATACTAAATTGTTATCAAGATATTTTAGTCTTGATAATACTAAGTTGTTATCAATATATTTTAGTCTTGATAACATTAAGTTAATATCAAGATATTTTAGTCTTAATCATCTAAGTACAGTACATAACACTCAACACAAAGTATAAAACATACACCAATAACTAAATGGTTCTAGTTAGCATAGTATTTGCGGAAAAAAAAATAAAAAATATGATGCCTTGTTAGTAGGTGGATAAGAGTATAACACCTCATATATATAGCTGAATGGTTACTTAGAGGAGTACCTGGGTAAGTGGAACTTGTCTGCATGCTTATTAGTTTTATTTAACATATTCCTGAGTAGTTTTGCTGATGATTGACTCACAATAGTTTAGACTGGTTTGGTGTTGGTTGCAAAATTGTCTGTTTTGCTGTGTTTACCGTAGACCGGCTTGCCTGGGGTTCGAACCTTGCCTCCTCCCTCCATCCAGGTTATAATAATACTAAAAAATAATAATAATAATCTTTATTTTTACAAGTACATACATGATACAACTTATACATACCATAGCTGACGTCAGTGACATGCTATTTAGAAAGCCCCTGGTTATGCACAGCATTTCGGGCAAGTTAGTTTAATTTTGTCCTCAGGATGTGACCCACACCAGTTGACTAACACCTGGGTACCTACTTACTGCTAGGTGAACACTGGCAGCAGGTGTAAGTTGACTAACACCCAGATACCTACTTACTGCTAGGTAAACACCAACAGCAGGTGTAAGGTGACTAATACCCAGGTACCTATTTACTTGGACAGCAGATGTATGGTAACTAACACCCAAGTACCTATTTACTGCTAGGTGAGCAGGGACAGCAGGTGTCTTAAGGAAACATGTCCTAATGTTTACACCTGTACCGGGGATCAAACCACGGACCTCAGTGTGTGAGCTGAGTGTGCTACCAACCCAGCCACAGGACACCTACCCCATTATTTATCATTGTTATATTATGATTTTTGCCAGTCATTTATGTAGGTGTGCGTGTATTTGTACATGGGCACATTTATGTACAGCTTCTCCTCACTTAACGACGGAGTTCCATTCCTAAGACCACGTCGTTAAAGGAATTCGTTGCCAAGTGAGGAGCATACTATAATGGTAGTGGGTTTGTGTCAACCATCTTTAATATTGTTTTAATTTCATCTTTGCACCATTTATAATATTTTTAACATATTTTTAAATGTTTATACGATAGTGTACAGTGGACCCCCGGTTAACGAACTTTTTTCATTCCAGTAGTATGTTCAGGTGCCAGTACTGACCGAATTTATTCCCATAAGGAATATTGTGAAGTAGATTAGTCCATTTCAGACCCCCAAACATACACGTACAAACGCACTTACATAAATACACTTACATAATTGGTCGCATTTGGAGGTGATCGTTAAGCGGGGGTCCACTGTACTGTATATTGTGATAAACAGAATAGAGGAAATCAGCTCTAATATACCTTATTTAGGTATGGATCCTGGTCAGAGGGCCCGTCGTAAGTCCAAGTCATTGGTAAACGAGTACGTTGCAAAGAGAGGAGAGGCTGTAATCATTGTAAGAGATAATATTACAAATAATTATTTCTAAACACACAGCAGTTGTTTTAAACAGTCTTCTTCTATAATTTCTAAATCACCTAAAATTATTGCTAAGTAGTTTGAATATTCAGAATATTTGTGTGTGTGTGTGTGTGTGTGTGTACTCACCTAATTGTGGTTGCAGGGGTCAAGTCATAGCTCCTGGCCCCATCTCTTCATTGGTTGCTACTAGACCACCAATGTGTGTGTGTGTGTGTGTGTGGTATTTAGTATTTTCTCTGAGGACTCTCCAAATCTTAATAACACAGTTGTAAACAAACCACAGAACAAGTGGGATTTGAACCAATGGCCAGTGAATGGTAAAATGTACTAGCCGGGAGTTTTACGACTCACTTGCCATGGGTTCAACCTCCACCCATTCTATAGTTTATTTTTTTTATGTAATTTTTATGTAGTGTAAATTGTAATATGCAAATGTTGTCAACGCAGACACCACCCAGCTCACTCCCAGTGAAACATTAATTAATAAGATGACTGTACTGAAGAGCGTGTCAGTGTCTGGCCAGAATATACTACTGTACAGTAAGTCCTCGACTTACAGGCACTTTGAGAATCTTCTCTGTTGTGTATAATACCATTATTATATCATTATTGTGTATAATATCATTAATATAGACAATACAGGAGGTCTCCAATGTGTTCGTAAGTTGACAACTTCCTGTAGTTATCTTAATTATTGTTTCAGTGTGGGGTCGTTTGTGTATTTATGTATGTTTGTGTGTTGAAAAATTCTTTTTGGATGAATGGAAAAAAATACTAAGAGGGATTGTAATTTATATCTATGTTGTAGCTGTCATGAGGCTACTGGCCTTGTGTACTATCCCTTACAATACCTACTGGAGTGTAGTGGATAGTACGCCAGGCTGGCAGTCTGGAGATGGTTAGTCCACGGGTTCAAATCCTAACTGCCTGTTAAAAAAAATTATGCATATTGTTCTTCTAGTGGTTAAATGTGGTAGTGCAATGTTGCCTGCGCCTGTAATGGCAACTTGCATGGTATGTCACTCATCATGTGTCGCCACGTGGCTTGTCTCTCTCTCCTCATATCTCTTTGATTTGAATAACTCATGTTACTTATATGACTATCATATATTTAAAATATTTTCACTGCTAAATAAATTTGATGACCTCTCAGAGTTCACAGTCTTTGCAATATTGATAAATAAAAAATTTTAGTGATATCATTTACAAATATAACATCAGATATGCTTTTCTATATTATAGTTTAATTGTTGTACAGATATAAGGCTACTGGATAATTAATTTTTTTGATATATGGATAAAAAGCATCACAGCTAAAATTGTATAACTGAATTTATATAAAATACAGTTGAAAAATATATTCATTTGTTTTGAATAAATTATTTAATATGATTAGATTAAGTGATAAATTTTAGATATTGAAACTGGTTTGCAGTATTACGTCAGGAATCTCATTAATGAGTGCATTGTCAATCTAATGTTCTCATATTTACTCATCCATGTTATGTTTCAGCTGTATTCATACAGTATTGTGTATGTTGTTTTGCTAATATATAACTGTACGATTCTGTCTTTCAGAAATCAATGGATCCCGGCAATATGGACAAGATGTATACCAGACAAGGCTACCTCTTTCTCATGGAAAAGAGTACGTTACTTTAGTTTTCTGTGTAATGTAAGATATATCAGTTATTATCGGCTGTGAATACTTTTCTTTCAACACGCTGGCCGTCTCCCACTGACTGTATCTTAACATTACCCTCATGACTAACTTATTACTCCCCCCAAGACTGTAACTTATTACTCTCCCCATGACTGTAACTTAACATTTCCCTCATGACTGTAACTTATTACTCTCCCCATGACTATAACTTAACATTTCCCTCATGACTGTAACTTATTACTCTCCCCATGACTGTAACTTAACATTTCCCTCATGACTGTAACTTAACACTTTCCCCATGACTGTAACTTAACGTTTCCCTCATGACTGTAACTTAACACTCCCCCATGACTGTAACTTAACACTCCCCCATGACTGTAACAACAATCAACTTGTTTATAAGTAAGAAGTCAATATATTCTTCTATATCCAAGTATTTGTTCATTTCACTGAAACCAAACAATAGGTGATAAGGTTTAAACCCATGGCAACGGAGTCGAGGGTTTAAATTCCACTCATTCCTCGATTTGTATACAATCACGTTATTATGATTTCACGAGTAATTTCATTTAAGTTTCTTCTTTATTCTAACAGAGGCATTTGGAACAACCTGGACCAAACATTACTGTCTCTACCAGAAGGAGAACAGAGTCTTCACAATGATCCCGTACAACCAGATTCAGCACAAAATTGTAAGTCAGACTGCGAGTATCCTAGGATGAAATCTTATCAATAATCATTTTATGAATGAATCTAAAATTCATTATAGTGAAGAATATATTGAAACAAATATTCTGTATATATGATAAATTTATGGAGGATAGAGTTCATCTAGGCTTAGGTATTGGGTGCTCCTTGACTTACAATGGGGTTATGTTCCTATGTTGAAAACATTGTAAATAGAATATGAATGCGATATGGTAAATACATAACTACTGTCACTCAGTAAGTAAATGGTAAATAAATAACTACTGTTTATTTATTTATTTATTTTATGTCTTTGAAAACAGTACATTGAGATTTTGTATTTACAATAGTGGGTTGCAATACAAAGAGAGCCTCTATTATGCCTAGGCATTATGGGCCAACTTAACATTATTGGCTTACAGTCTACTTAATACTAAGGAGTATATCATAGTTGTACAGTAGGATAGTAATTATTTCATAATTGTACAGTAGAATGTTAATTATAAATGAATCAAAATTTGTATAATACAAAAATATATTTATATTCGAAAATGTTTTTTGTGAAAATAATGATTCAATTATATTCACTCAGTATGTCACTCAATAAGTAAAGTAACATAATTACTGTAACTAACTAAATACAAATGTTGAAAATTAAATACAGGTTTATCCTATCAATAAATGTAGAGTACAAATGTACGTTGCTATCCCACCATCGTTAAGTCAAAATATTGTAAGTTGAACCATGGTAAAGCGAGGAGCATCTGTATATTGAATATTGAAAGATTTATTGTATGTATAGAAAACCGATTCTGGGTAAAGAAAGATGAAATTAATACTGCCAGGTAGTTAGATGACTCACATATCCCATTAAGTAGTCATTTATCTGATAGTTATCGGGTTAAAAAAAAATTAGGAGAATTTTTCTGATAGTCATCCTTTGATAAGTACATTAAAATCTATAATATTCGGATTTTTCTCTAAAATAATGGATTTTTACCCAATATTTTTTTAATTTTGGGTAAAAAAAAAGAATAGGATTTGTAATGTATATTCAGCATGCATTTTATTATCATCTATGCTTAGTGGGGTCTAGTTACCCTATAAACATGCTTGTCTTTGCCCTCATGCTTAATGCAGCTTTAATTGCTAAAAGTACTGCTTTCCACTCAATATAATCAGTGGTGACAGTCACCAGGCTACCTACCATGGCTAAATTGGTTATTAGTCACAGTTCCCACTAGGAAGTGGCATGGGTTTGGGTTTGAGAAGGACTTACCAAGTATGGGCCAGTAGGCCTGTTGCAGTGTTCCTCCTTACTTATGTTCTTATATTCTTACAGTGTCTTCCCTGAGGTTGTGGGTTCTGACTTACTCATTCCCTTGTATTACTTGGTGCTCCTTACATGTGTTACACCCTTGTTGTGTTACTTGGTGCTCCTTATGTGTGTTACACCCTTGTGTTACTTGGTGCTCCTTATGTGTTACACTCTTGTGTTACTTGGTGATCCTCACATGTGTTACACCCTTGTGTTACTTGGTGCCCCTCACATGTGTTACAGAACACCTGTCCATCAGTGCCATATTTGCGATTTAAGGGAGGTAGTAGAGCACTAGCTAAAAATTAGAGACCAGTATCCCGAACTTCTCACATCATAAAAATCTTTGAAAGAGTGATGAGACAACAGATTACAAATTTCATGGACCAGCACAACCAGCATAACCTGAACCAGCATGGTTTTAGAGCAGGATGATCATGCCTCTCACAGCTGCTGAACCATTATGACAGAATTACAGAGGCATTGGAAGACGACCAAAATGCAGATGTGATTTACACAGATTTTACAAAGACGTTTGACAAATGGGATCATGGAGTGATGGCGCACAAAATGAGGGCCATGGGTATTACGGGGAAGGTAGGCAGATGGATTTTCGGGTTCCTAACACACAGAACACAAAAAGTAGTAGTAAACAGAGCAAGATCCAGCATCAGTGAAGTAAAAAGCTCAGTGCCCCAAGGCACTATTATGGCATCTCTGCTGTTTCTTATCTTCATAGCAGACATAGATAAAAACACCAATCATACTTTTGTATCATCATTTGCAGATGACACTAAAATAAGCATGAAAGGCACTATCGTAGAGGACACTGAAAAATTACAGGAAGACATAAGTAGGGTTTTCCAGTGGGCAGCAGATAACAACATGATGTTCAGTGGTGATAAGGTCCATTTGCTTAGGTATGGAAAGAATGAAGAACTCAAAAGGAACACTATATACAAAACTCAAGAGGGTCACCAAATAGAATGAAAGGAACATGTGAAAGACCTGGGAATAATTATGTCAGCTGACCTTTCTTTTAAAGACCATAACAAAACAAAGCTTTGGTGGGATATGGCCGGTTTGTTGAAAAAAACAAAACAAAGATCATGACAGCCAGGGAAATAATACCAGTGGCCACACTTTTCAAATTGCTAGTGCTCCCTCATGTAGAATATTGTTCAGTGCTGACGACCCCATTCAAAGCAGGAGAAATATCAGAGCTGGAACAAATACAGAGATTGTTTATGGCTCACATTGAGCCAGTAAAGCACTTAAATTACTGGGAACACCTTCAGATCTTGAACTTGTACTCATTGGAGCGGAGGAGAGAAAGATACATGATAATATATACCTGGAAAGTACTCGAGGGCCTGGTCCCAAATCTGCACATTGCCATAACAACATACTGGAGTGAGAGATATGGGAGGAAGTGTAAAATAAACCCAGTGATGAGCAGGGGTGCGGTGGGGACAATAAGGGAACACTGTATCAACATTTGGGGTCCCAGACTATTCGACATCTTACTGGAAGATATCAGAAACACGGCTGGAACAAGTGTTGAAGCCTTCAAGAGGAAACTGGACAAGTATCTTCACCAGGTGCCAAATCAATCAGGCTGTGATGAATATGTGGGGCAGCGGGCCTCCAGCAGCAACAGCCTGGTTGACCAGGCAAGCACTAGAGGAGCCTGGCCTATGGCCGGGCTATTGAAACTCTTCGAAGGTATATCAAAGGTACTGCAGTGTCAAATGACCTCGCGGGTTTGGCGTTTTTCTCGTGGATAACTACCATATTTTATGTGCGAGACACTATTTAATACAGTCTCATTTTCACCCTTTTCTGATGCTGCTTGTTACTGGTATTGATGTAAAGTTATTTAGAAAGATGTCTTATCCCTGGGTCCATGCACTGGGTATACTGAATTTATGTATACTTCTCTTGAACCTGGGGTACTTTTGCAAGTAAATATTATGAACGAGCAGTATGATACACACAATAGTATCATGAATGAGCAGTATGATACACAAAATGTGAACGAGCAGTATAATACACAGAATATCATGAACAAGCAGTATTATACACAAAATATTATGAACGAGCAGTATGATACACAGAATATCATGAACGAGCAGTGTGATACACAGAATATCAGGAACAAGCAGTATGATATACTACAAAATATCACCCTGCCTCAGTGGGAAATGGCCGATGTGTTAAAAAAAAACTAAATACCAGTATTGAAAAGTAAATAAATGAATACAAGTTGCGGACTTGCAAACCTCACAACAATGAACTACAGTTACTTTTTTTTTTTCTTTTAAATTTAGAGATCTATAAAAGTTTGGTTGCAATTTTCGGGGGCCCAAGGAATGTAACCCTATTATTCCCATAAGTTCTTCAGTTTGGGGTCCCAGGAACCTAACTCTAATTTTTCCATAAATTCTTTGGTTTGTTTTACACAGTTTCTTCTCACTCTCAAGTTTCAGATTTAAATTCAGATCCAAATTTTTATTTCTTTGCAAAATTTACAATGTGTGACTGACATGTTATAAGGAGTCTCTTTCCATGCATAGTTTGCAATGTGTAATTACAATATTGATTTGCAAGTGCAAAGAAAGCCACGATCAATCCGATGCCTTTCACCATCTTAAAGTCAAAATATCGTAAGTCGAACCATTGTAAGTCGAGGAACACCTGTATTTACATGGCTATCTCTCTGTTATCTTTGTATAAAATGAACTAGTAGCTAGTATTTACTAAATTTTATTTACTGACTTCTTGGGTAAGTACCATGCTATATTACACAAGTGTGACACATGCTGCTTGCTCTTCTGTAAGTACAGCCAGGTCTTGATTACCGTGAGCTCAATGCAAATTTTGTTGTAATGCGAAAGAATCACGTGCAAAAATTACAAATAATGTGAATAGTGCAAATTGAAATAATGCAACCGCTCGAGGGGATTCATTAGTTGTACTAACCGAGACCTAGCTGTGTATTTAATAGCCTCTCGTACTCATCACCTATCAGCCTCTTGTACTCAGCACCTATGAGCCTTTTGTACTCAGCACCTATCAATCTCTCATACTCATAGCACCTATCAGCCTCTTGTACTCATAGCATCTATCAATCTTTCATACTCATAGCACCTATCAGCCTCTTGTACTCATAGCACCTATCAGCCTCTCATTCTCATAGCACCTATCAGCCTCTTGTACTCATAGCAGCTATCAGCCTCTCGTACTCATAGCACCCATCAATGAGGATACTTTGCTTTTTGAGCTAAATACAATATGCTCTGTAAAATTTGCATATTTGGCCCACACTCTCACTGCTTTCCAGTTTCTTGTTTTACTGCTGTTCATCAATGATGAGCACTGGGATGAGTCATCAAGGTAGATTCCACTTTTACACTTGAATCAGTTTTATCAATACATTCAAATAAAGTGTTCCGTAGCTTGGTTGGTAGTGCATTCAGCTCACACACTGAGCATCTGTGGTTCGATCCCCGGTATGTGAGGAAACATTGGGCATGTTTCCTTACACTTGCTGTCCATCTTCACCTAGCAGCAAGTAGGTATCTAGGTGTTAGCTGATAGGTATGAGTTGCATCCTGGGAGGTGGAAGTATATCACTGATAGAGCTGAGGCTTTGAAATAAGCTAAGGTAGGATAACAGCTCTTAACCTGTAAAATTGATTTATCTAAAAGAAAAAAAAGAGTAACATGGTAGGTTGCTCGGGTCACTCCATTCTGGACGCGCCTGACTAACAGAAGAGTTAATGATCAATACACAGATAACCCGTACATAGGAGAGAGAAAAGGTTAAGATGACATTTCGGTTCAGCTTGGATCATTTACAAGTCACGTTGATGGAAGAGGATGTGTGAGCCAGTATATATGGGCGAGGGGGACAGGGATGGGAGAAGGCGAGGAAGAAAAGGAAGTAGTAGTAATGCTGGTAGTGGCAGTAGTAGTAGTAGAAGTAGTAGAGGTAGTAGAAAGTAAGGGGAGTAGATTTTGTGTATTACAGTGGACCCCCGGTTTACGATCAGCTCCCAATGCGACCAATTATGTAAGTGTATTTATGTAAGTGCGTTTGTATGTGTATGTTTGGGGGTCTGAAATGGACTAATCTAATTCACAATATTCCTTATGGGAACAAATTCGGTCAGTACTGGCACCTGAACATACTTCTGGAATGAAATAATATCGTAAACCGGGGGTCCACTGTATTCTAGTCACAATATTGTGCCTTTGTGTTCTTCAATCAATGATCATTTTGTTAAGACTGATTCTTGTTTATTTTTTATTAGTTTTTCTGATCTTGCAGACTGTAGTATATTTTACCCTCACAACGCACACTGCGCCTCTTCGTTCTCTCCAACAAGGCATCAATAATTCCATCAATTAAAAGTCACTTCAGTGGGAAGATATATTTTATGTTCCCTTTCTATTCTTCATATAATATTAGATATTTCAGGCAATGAAACATTTTAAAAATGTGTTTTTGTGGGCCAAATTTATAGTGCACTTTACATTGTCTTGCTTTGAGGAAAAATAATTTCTTGTCATTTTATTTTCTTCTGCATATTTTAAAGTTCCAATTCAGAGCAGTGACTGTAAGTCTTTAAATGGCTCTTGAGGTATTCTCAGAAGTTTATTAAGATTGTTTAAGAGTAAACACATTCTCTGTTGTGTATCTTGACAACTTTCTAATTCTAGTTGTATATAAATGATAATAAATACTGATAAAATGAAGAATTAGACACAGGTACAACAATTGGGTATTTTTATTTGTAGACGTTTTTCCACCCAGTGGCTTTATCAGTACAATACAAGTATGAAGATCGTAGAACTATATACAGAAAGATGAGGTAATCAGTCCCTCAACCTTAAGAGTTGGTGAAGAACACTGTAGTTTTGAAGAATTGAAACACAAATAACCCGCACATAGAAGAGAGGAGCTTACGACGACTTTGTCAATGGTCCAAGTCGGACTGAAACATCGTCGTATGCTCCTCTCTTCTATGTGCGGGTTATTTATGTATCGTTCCAGTCATGGTATTGTGCCTTTTTTTGTTATTTTTGAAGAATTGGAAACATAGGCAGGATTCCTGCCTGTGCTCTATGATGATATTCACCAACTCCAAGGCTGAGGGACGGATTACCTCATATTTTGTATATAGTTCTACATTCTTGCCATTATGTCCTTGTATTGTATTGATAAAGCCACTGGATGGAAAAATGTCTATAAATGAAGATACCCAGATGTTGCATATGTGTCTAATTCTTCAGTCTAATAGTTATCAGTTCATCATTGTAATCATACTGATTCTGGCAGTAGTCATTGTCAGTGTCCTGCAGCTGAGTTGATCCTTTACTGGGGTAACTTCTGTCTTCTTCCTTCTTACTTGCCTTCCTTTACTGGGGTAACTTCTGTCTTCTTCCTTCTTACTTGCCTTCCTTTACTGGGGTAACTTCTGTCTTCTTCCTTCTTACTTGCCTTCCTTTACTGGGGTAACTTCTGTTTTCTTCCTTCTTACTTGCCTTCCTTTACTGGGGTAACTTCTGTTTTCCTTCCTTCTTACTTGCCTTCCTTTACTGGGGTAACTTCTGTTTTCTTCCTTCTTACTTGCCTTCCTTTACTGGGGTAACTTCTGTCTTCTTCCTTCTTACTTGCTTTCCTTTACTGGGGTAACTTCTGTCTCCTTCCTTCTTACTTGCTTTCCTTTACTGGGGTAACTTCTGTCTTCTTCCTTCTTACTTGCCTTCCTTTACTGGGGTAACTTCTGTCTTCTTCCTTCTTACTTGTCTTCCTTTACTGGGGTAACTTCTGTCTCCTTCCTTCTTACTTGCCTTCCTTTACTGGGGTAACTTCTGTCTTCTTCCTTCTTACTTGCCTTCCTTTACTGGGGTAACTTCTGTCTTCTTCCTTCTTACTTGCCTTCCTTTACTGGGGTAACTTCTGTCTTCTTCCTTCTTACTTGCCTTCCTTTACTGGGGTAAATTCTGTCTCCTTCCTTCTTACTTGCCTTTCTTTACTGGGGTAACTTCTGTCTCCTTCCTTCTTACTTGGCTTCCTTTACTGGGGTAAGTTCTACCTCCTTCCTTTTTACTTTACTTGGCTTCCTTTACTAGGAAAAGTTCTGTCTTCCTACTTTACTTGGCTTCCTTTACTAGGGAAAGTTCTGTCTTCCTACTTGGCTTCTCTTACTAGGGTAAGTTCTGCCTCCTTCCTCTTACTTGGCTTCCTTTACTAGGGAAAGTTCTGCCTTCTTCCTACTTTGCTTGGCTTCCTTTACTGGGGTAAGTTCTACCTCCTTCCTTCTTACTTTACTTTGCTTGCGGTTCAATTCAACCTTCAAGATTTCTTCTTTTTGTTCCCTCCGAAGAAACAGGCGTTGTCTAGAAGACGGTTGCCATTCTTCCCATGGATGGGGATGTTTTATCTATGTAACTTCTCTCCTCTCTCTCTCTGGGAATGTTATATATCATCCCAACATCAGATTTGATTAATTATGTGCAATTGTTTCTTCCTCTGCTGGGCAGCTTCGTGCTCGATATCTTATTTTCACATCTTTGGCCCTCAGAGTATGGTTCCAGCATCTTCAGCCATTCTCCCGGGACTCTTGTTAAAGGTAAACATTAAAAAAGATGGCATTAAAAGTCCTAGAAAAAGAAAGATTTGTAAAAAAAAAAAAATCTGAATTTTCTGGGGTGATCCACTTTAAAATTTTAACACGTAGGAAATATCTTTGTTATTAAAACTGAAGAAGATGCTGAAGTCTTTGTCCATGTTGTAGAGATTGTTCATAAAGCCTCCTCACTCTCTTCTATATATCATAAACCAAACAAGGTGTTGGAACATCTTCACAGTCCAGGTTTGTGTTAGACTAAGTCCAACCTGTGTGTAACTCAAAACATATCTGTGCTTCACGAGATCCAGCGATGTGTCATCTCACAAGAATGCACTTGGCCTCCTACTTACACATAATACAGCATCAGGGACTACGATTCTTGCTGTCTACCTAATATAATCAGTTGTTACAGTGGCTGGTAAGATGGTTACCAGTGGTTCAATCATAACTCCTGCCAGATCGCCTCATGGGTCCTGTCGACACTACATTCCCTTGCAGCAAGTGTCTTCTTGATCAGTCATAAGCTGCTCTCAACAAACTCCTACAAACCAGCTACATTGCTCTCTTTGTCATTTATGTGTGAATAATCAGCTAATCATGTAGTAACACAAGGGTCTGGCATGTTCCTTGTAGCTAATTGTTTGTGATGATGGTTATAAGTTTGGTTCATATCAGAATTTCCCAGCTCTTTTTCCACCATATGGTGAGCTCTTTTTCTAACTCTCACTATGGACTCTTGATGTCTCATCTCCATACTACAGGCTTGTGTAGTTCTCAGAGGTAGAGTGCGAGATTGGAGCACAGTAATAGTTTTCCTGTGGCCCAGGCACCGGTTAGGGTTCCTAAGCTACTGCAGTAGGAGTCACATGCCCCTGAGGTTTTTGTGGTCATTCAGTTCAACAATGACAAGAAGTTTTACTGGGCATCAGGTGAGAAAGATATGGAGTTGGTCCTTGACTTACTATGGAGTTATGTTCCAACAAACCCTAAGTCAAATATAGATATGATATGCTAAGTAAATAAATAGATAACTACTGTCAGTGAATAAGTAAAGTAAACAAATAATTATTGTAACTGACTAAATACCAATACAGTTTCAAAGTAAATAAATGAATATAAGTTGCAGACTGAAGGAGGGGTGTCAATGTTGCAGTTTAAAAACTGTAGTGTAAAGCACCCTTCTGGCAAGACAGTGATGGAGTGAATGATGGTGAAAGTTTTTCTTTTTCGGGCCACCCTGCCTTGGTGGGAATCGGCCAGTGTGATAATAAAAATAATAAAAAAGTTGCAGACTTGTCACCTTCATGCTGGGTAATTATCTTAAGTTTCATCTCCAAAGTAATTACTTTTGCACCATCATAAAGTCAAAATATCATAAGTCAAACGATCGTAAGTCGAGGAGCACTTGTACACTACTGTATTACAATATAGGGACTTGTTTAAATTTACTCAATGAAATTAATATCACAACAACAGGAGGCAAAGTACACAATGATAAACCCCTCAGTAAGAAGTAGAGTTCAGTAAGCAGAACTTAAAAGTCCATAGTTTTTCAGCAGCTTCCCTTCAGATGTAAGGAGACTTGCCGATAGATCCCTTACAGTCTTCGATGGATCGTATTAGAGTCAGCTGGCCAAGTGGTTAATGCACTGGCATGGGCATTGTATGATTCACTTGGCATAGGTTCAACCTCCACCCATTCCATGGTTTATCTTGGTGTTTGTGCTTCAGGAAGCTCCTCTTGATGCATGAAAGTCAACAGTCATGTACATGTTATTATGTAAAGTAAAAGGACACAAGTGCAACTAATGTGACATTTATTGTGGCAACGTTTCGCTCTCCAGGAGCTTTATCAAGCCAGGTAATGGCTTGATAAAGCTCCTGGAGAGCGAAACGTTGCCACAATAAATGTCACATTAGTTGCACTTGTGTCCTTTTACTTTACATATTGTCGGTAATTCTACCAACTTTATTACATGTTATTATGTGATGGTCCATTTTTGTCTGTGAGATACATTCACTTTATGTATGATATACATTCACTGCATGTGTGATATACATTCACTGTATATGTGACCTGTTCACTGTATGTATGACACACATTCTCTGTATGTATGACACACATTCACTATATGCACTTGATACAGTTCACAAGACTCACTGAAGATTCATATTATGGGATCTAAGTAATAATAACTTCAGCTTAGTATATCTTCCAGAAACCTGGAGTGTATCTATTGTATGAAGTTGAGGACATGTATTGGCTGTATGTAGACACAGTGAACCTTCAAGCTGATTTAAATGAAGTCTTCCAGTGGGCCACTGACAAGAATGTCCTTCAAGCTGATTTAAATGAAGTCTTCCATTGGGCCACTGACAGATGTCCTTTCAAGTGATTTAATGAAAGTCTTCCAGTGGCCACTGACAAGAATGTTATGCTCATAAGACAAATTTCAGTGCTCCACGTGAAAATTGAGGAAATAAAGACTAAAACTGATATAACACAACCTGAATATTAATGAAGTTCAGTGGAGCACTGCAGTAACAGTGTTAATATCTCACATTCAAGGATTACAAGAATTATCACAACTATAAGGAAATTGATAGCTTGGATAACTAGAACATTCAAAACAAAGATACCATGCCATTACTGATTATTCAAGTCATTTGTTCTCTGTATACTAATGGCTCCCTTCAAGCAGGTATAAAATACCCGCACATAAAAAGAGAACTTACGACGACATTTCCGTCCGACTGGCCATTACAAAGTCACACAGTGTGATTGTAATGGTCAATCGGACCGAAATTCGCATAAGCTTCATCTACTTTATGTGCGTTATTTGTGTTATCGTTCCAGTCAGTTGTCTTGATGTATTGCCTATGTGCTTTGTTATTAAGACAGGAGAAACTACAGAACTGGAGAATATATGGAGAACCTTCACTGCCTGTATAAATTCAGTCAAGCACCTGAACCACTGGAAACATGTGAAGTCCCTTGAACTGTACTCTTTGGAATGTAGATGAAAATGATACATCATAATCTACACCAGGAAAATTATGGAGGAAATGGGCCCAAACTTGCACACTGAAATCACTCCATATGAAACCAAAAGATTTGGCAGACATTGCAAAATACCTCCGTGAAAAGCAGAGGTGTGATGAGCACACTAAGAACTCAGCAAGTGTCAGGGGATCAAGGTTCTTCAACATGCTCCCGTTGTGCATAAGAGAAATTACCAACAAGCCCCCTGGCCATCTTCAAAGAGGAACTTGATAAGTTCCTCAGGCAATTCCTGATCAGCCAGACTATGATGCATATGTTAGACTGCAGCCTGATTGATCAAGCTGGCAACAGGGAAACCTGGTCCCAGACCAGGCTTCAGGGAAGGTGACTGCCAAAATCAACTCTTAGATAGTCATATGTATGTCAGTATCCATACACAAATAACCCACACATAGGAGACAGAAGCTTATGATGATGTATTGGTCTGACTTGGACCACTTACAAGCTGGACCAAAATGTCATCATAAGGTTCTCTCTCTCCTATGTGCAGGTTATTTGTGTATTGTTCCAGTCATGATATTGTTCCTTTTTGTTCTTTATGTTAGTATCGTTAATGTCTGAATGCCCAGCGAGTGTTTAGACTATATTATAATATTGATCTGGGAAAAGTGGGAGTGGAGGAGGGTGACCTTCTAATTATGAAGTCTTTAAAGTCCTCAATTCTCTCAACCAGATCTCACGATGTGTAATTTGAGAACCATGAGGTCTGGCATATTATAATAATTTCACTCACTCAGGCTGTAATGGCTTGATAAAGCTCCTGGAGAGTGAAACGTTGCCACAGTAAAATGTCGCATGAGTTGCACTTGTGTCCTTTTACCTAACATCCATGAGGATGTCTAGCAGAAATTTTGATTCATTAATACAGCCTCTCCTCACATAGCGACGCACTTTTTTACCAATGACTTGGACTTACGATGGGCTCTCTGACCAGTGTGCATACCTAAATAATGTATACTGGAGCTGATTTCTTCTGTTCTGTTTATTACAATATACAGTGGACCCCCGCCTTACGATCAACTCCCAACATGACCAATTATGTAAGTGTATTTTTGTAAGTGCTTTTGTACGTGTATTTTTGGGGGTCTGAAACGGACTAATCTAATTCACAATATTCCTTATGGGAACAAATTCGGTCAGTACTGGCACCTGAACAGACTTCTGGAATGAAATAATATCATAAGGCGGGGGTCCACTGTACAGTACACTACTGTATAAACATTTAAAAATATACTAAAAATGTTATAAATGGTACAAAGGTGACATTAAAACAATATCAAAGATGGCCGACATAAACCCACCACCATTATAGTTTGCTCCTTGCTTAGCGACAAATTCATTTACCGACGTGGTCTTAAGAACGGAACTGTGTCGTTAAGTGAGGAGAGGCTGTATTTGTCTTTGATAACGAGGTTGTTTGACAAAGTATCCCTGGTTATTAAGTACTTAAGGCTGTATTAAGTGTTAATGAGAAGTCAAGCATATTCTGTGAGTTACTGGACCCACAGCACCATAGAAACCCATTACTCCTGTGTCAAGGTTAAGTGGTAATGTTTTGACACATCTACAGGTGCTCCTCGACTCACGGTGGGGTTACGTTCCGATGAACCCATCGTAAGTCAAATATGAATATTATATGCTAAATAAATGAGTAAATAAATGACTACTATCACTGAACAAGTAAATGAACAAATAATTTCTGTAACTAATTAATACCAGTATTGAAAAGTAAATAAATGAATTCAAGGTACGGACTTGCCTCCTTTATGTTGGGTAATTATCTCAAATTTCACCGCCAAAGTAATTGCTTTTGCACCATTGTAAAGTCAAAATATCATAATTCGAACCATCATATGTCGAGGAGTACGTGTACGTAATTGCTAATGGCTATGTGAAATACTAGCATGTGTTTTTGTCCAGTCTGTTGCATATATTAGCATGTCTAAAATACCAGTGGACACAAGATCTTTCTGCTTTATAAGGTATAGTGTCATGGTAAGTGTCTGATTTATAAAGACTTTGATTACAGCGGCCGCATGAAGAAGAGAAGTGTAGGCATGACTTTCATAGGAGTTACAATTTCACTGCTGTGTTAGATAATACTGTATTTGTTCATCTTTACTTATTAAGACTTTGTACCTAAGTTAATCTCAATTATTCTTTTTCTTTCACCCATAAACAGTGCAAATTTGTAAGTTTTGGTTAAGTTTTTACCATTGAAATGAAATAAAATAATGAAATTTCAGTGTACAGTAATTACTTTGGGCTTTTGTAAAGTTGCAAAAATACATTAATTTGAAAACTAGTGAAAATTGATGGTAGTTGTCAACTTTTAACAGAGGTGTTATTACTTCCTTTTCAGACTTCGACAGAAACTATAGTCCTTAGGTCGTGTGTTAGACGAATGTCAGACAGCATAGACAAAAGGTTTTGCTTTGATTTGACGGCTCAAGATAAACCCGGTGTCCAGTACACACTGCAAGCATTGTCTGAGGATGATCGCAAGCACTGGATGGATGCCATGGACGGCAAGGAACCTGTGAGTACCGACTTCGTAACTCAGCTATACAAGAGGGCCCTGCTTGTATGGCCATAAGGCTCCTGACCCCAGACGATAAGCAGAAATTGCCGGCGGGTAGATAACAGCAGTTTTTTCACTATCAGCTATGCCTAAAACACCCGATAATGTATTTACACTATCATGTACTGTATTTAAGTGTTTAATACAGCTAGGCATAGAAAACAAAAAAAAAAGAAAATAAATACACAGTACATACAATACAGTGGACCCCCGCATAACGATTACCTCCGAATGTGACCAATTATGTAAGTGTATTTATGTAAGTGCGTTTGTACGTGTATGTTTGGGGGTCTGAAATGGACTAATCTACTTCACAATATTTCTTATGGGAACAAATTCGGTCGGTACTGGCACCTGAACATACTTCTGGAGTGAAAAAATATCGTTAACCGGGGGTCCACTATACTTACCTTAAAATATAATACCGGTCACCTTCCTTTATGCAGCTGTTGTATAAAAATGACAGTAATGGCAGAGAAGCAGTAAAAGCACTGAACATAATGATCAATGGCTCACTTGAGAGCCACTGAAAATGTGGGACACCGAAAATAGTTGCTGTGTATGTGTGGCCTTCCTGTACAGGTACATTTTCTATTTGTAGGTAATATTGCATTAAAAATCAGAATCAGTAATATTTCACCTATTAATACTAATACAGTGGACCCCCACTTTACGATCACCTCCCAATGTGACCAATTATGTAAGTGTATTTATGTAAATGCGTTTGTACGTGTATGTTTGGGCGTCTGAAATGGACTAATCTAATTCACAATATTCCTTATGGGAACAAATTCGTTCCGTACTGGCACCTGAACATACTTCTGGAATGAAATAATATCGTAAACCGGGGGTCCACTGTACTATATCTATTTTTTATTGGAATAATACATATTACAGAGTAAGTGATGTCATAAATCTTTATACTTTAGCTAGAGACCATTTTGAAATCACTTGTAACACCGTAGAGATAAACGTGTACAAGACATGTTTTCTAGTTGTGTTTGATACGTATGTTACCTTAAAACAGCCATCAGTGCTGTAAATAATTTAGTTATCTTCACAACAAAATGGCCTGTAGGCACATAAGCAGATTATAAGATAAAGAAATATATTTATTATTAATAAATGCCTGTCTAGGTGGTCACACTGCCTAGGTGGTCACACTGCCTAGGTGGTCACACTGCCTAGGTGGTTACCCTGCCTAGGTGGTCACCCTGCCTAGGTGGTCACCCTGCCTAGGTGGTCACCCTGCCTAGGTGGTCACCCTGCCTAGGTGGTCACCCTGCCTAGGTGGGCAGTCTGCCTATGTGGTCACCCTGCCTAGGTAGTCACACTGCCTAGGTGGTCACCCTGCCTAAGTGGTCACCCTGCCTAGGTAGGAGACAATTGGTGTATAAGTAAGTAGGTTTATTTAGGTACAGGTACACATAAATACAATTATCATAATTAATGTAAATTACCTAGGATAATAACTCAAAAAAAAGTCAGACAAAGTGACTTACATATTTTCTGTGGCTTATATAAGATGTAAAGTTTTTGGCGTACAGTTTTGTTTATACAGTCGGAAAACAATGTACACAACAATGTACGATATTCCTTGGATGGTGATACACTGCCTCATCAATTATTCACTATACAAAATTATCTATTATTATTATTATTATTTTTTTTTTTCAACAAGGCGGCCGTCTCCCACCGAGGCAGGGTGACCCAAAAAGAAAGAAAATCCCCAAGAAGAAAATACTTTCATCATCATTCAACACTTTCACCTCACTCACACATAATCACTGTTTTTGCAGAGGTGCTCAGAACACAACAGTTTAGAAGCATATACATGTAAAGATACACAACATATCCCTCTAAACTGCTAATATCCCGAACCCCTCCTTTAGAGTGCAGGCATTTTACTTCCCATTTCCAGGACTCAAGTCCGGCTATATAAAAATAACCGGTTTCCCTGAATCCCTTCACTAAATATTACCCTGCTCACACTCCAACAGATCGTCAGGTCCCAAGTATCATTCGTCTCCATTCACTCCTATCAAACACGCTCATGCACGCCTGCTGGAAGTCCAAGCCCCTCGCCCACAAAACTTCCCTTACCCCTTCCTTCCAACCTTTTCAAGGACGACCCCTACCCCACCGTCCTTCTCCTACAGATTATTATTATTATTATTATTATTATTATTATTATTATTATTATTATTATTATCATCATTATTGTATTCTGAGCACCTCTGCAAAAACAGTGATTATGTGTGAGTGTGGTGAAAGTGTTGAATGATGATGAAAGTATTTTCTTTCTGGGGATTTTCTTTCTTTTTTTGGGTCACCCTGCCTCGGTGGGTCACCCTGCCTCGGTGGGTCACCCTGCCTCGGTGGGTCACCCTGCCTTGGTGGCGGTCACCTGCCGGTGGTCACCTGCCATGGTTGGTCACCTGCCCCGGTGATCACCTTGTCTCGGTGGAGAACGCGACAGTTAAAAAAATAAAAAATATCTGCGGCCTCATAAGAAGAGTAAATATTGAAGTCAATGATTTGCCAGCAACCTGCTGACTTCAAGTTAGATATTAGTATATAGAAGGACATCAACTGCTGACTCAGTTAAGATATTAGTATTTAGAGGAAGGTTCATAGGTTTGCTGCAGCATCCATTGTTTGAATCTTCAACAATAAAAATATATATGTATATGTTTAAAATGGAAAATAATTAGTTAATTTACATTCCCACGACATATCAGTGACCACATAGTGACCATATAGTCTGTCACCACATAGTGACCATATAGTCTGTCACCACATAGTGACCATATAGTCTCTCACCACATAGTACCAATTAGTGACCAATAGTCACCAATTAATGCATTACCACAATAGAGACCGACTATAATTGTAACATGCCTGTGACAGATAGTCACAGGACCTCAGATCACAGCAGCAACAAAGTCGAGCAGTGTTTAAGATTTAAAGCATGTGCTCATGCTGAGAGAGATCGTTAAATGTAATTGTGTTCTTGACTAGATTACCCTTAGCTCGGAATGGGATGACTCCTAACTTCTGACAGAAGAAACCTACCTTCCAAGCATTATGATACATGGTGATAATGATCATGGTATATTTACCTCGAAAGAATTGTATGCTGGACAGAGGTCTAGAGGATAGTAATAATTATTGTGGTTTTTATATATATATAGACCCCTTTAAGGCTCTGGAACTGGGAAATTGAAGCTACCTTACCCTTCCTTGGACCAGACTTGATTACCTACTCTTCCACAGGCAGTGTATGATCATACACTGGGATGATACACTGATCCCACTGGTATCATATACCAGTATACAGTGTACAGTGTCGAGACTGTTGTTCCTGTAAGTTTACAGGTCATGGCTTCCCTATGCAGGAACTATGTACACTAATGTACTAAGTAGGTTTATGTTCACGTATTGTGGTACTAGATGTAAGAATTCACCTTATTAGTTTTGTGTACAATCACAAGCTCTACAACCCTGGTCAACACAGTTGTAGAGCAGGAAGGTCCTCTCTTATACATGTACTACTACACTGTGATAAGTACATCCCTGGGATGCACTGGAATAATTCTCTAATAACATCACTTATTACAGAATTCTTTGCATTCATGTCTTAAAACTGCTTTTATCCTCCTCTTCCTTGGATCAAGCCTTATTATCACTACTTTCCTCCCTTAAAACATAATAATATAATTTTAAAGGTATTTTTCATCAGTTTGCTTAGTAATATTGTTGCCACTGACTGTAAAAAATGGAAAGTGTTTTTAACATACAATATTTGAAATAAAATAATGTGATTTGGCATAATTTTTCCCATAAAATGCAACTGTAGCAGCAGTTTTGATTAGAATTGTGATAATTTATATATTTTAGCTAACAATTGAAGTGTGTCAGAAAAAATTTCTCTTATGTTTTGGAAAGTACTGTATATGTGTTCTAACTCTTTCATTCCATATTCCTTGTCCTAAGTCTGACTATAGTAGAAATGCCAGGGGTAATTATTGAAGTGAATTTATTTACAGGTTTGGAAGATCAAGGTTTATACAGGTTAGTTGGTGTGTCTAGTAAAGTAACAAAGCTGCTACAGTTGGGATTGGACCGGCGGAAAGCAGAGAGACTCATGCTAGATGACACTGCTGAGTGGGAGGTGAAAACCATTACGTCTGCCATTAAACAATATTTTCGTAACCTTCCCGAACCTCTCATGACGTACAAGCTTCACAGTGCCTTCATCGCTGCTGCCAGTAAGTTTCACATCCCAGGAATTGTGTTTGTAAAAATTTTGAATAACAATAAAAAATAAAGTACAGGCAAGCCTCACTGAATGCTGTATCTGCAAGCATTCAGTGAGTGTATTGTGGTACTCCTTTATATTATGCTTGCTTTTATTTATCTTATGTTCTTATGAGTGTGAGAGGTTGGATTTGAGTGGGAGTTAGGGTTATCAAAACTTATTCCTTGGGTAACATTGAAAAATGGGTTGTGCAAATATTTTTGTTAATGGGTTTGGGTTTGAGAAGGACCTACCTAGTATGGGCCAGCAGGCCTGCTGCAGTGTTTCACCTTTCTTATGTTCTTGTACCCCCATGAATGCTTCACCTGTCCAGCTCAACCTAAGTCAGGCAAAGTTGGACAAAACACCTGACTATACTTAATTTAGGACGTGAAGTCCTAGCTAGCTAGCCTGCAAATCTAATGATGGGAATATTGAATGCAGATTCATAGCATAGATTTTTTTTTTCAATAACTGGCCATATCCCACTAAGGCAGGGTAACCTAAAAAGAAAAACAAAAGTTTCTCTTTTTACATTTAGTAATTTATATAGGAGAAAGGGTTACTAGTACCTTGCTCCCAGCATTTTAGTTGCCTCTTATGACACGCATGGCTTACAGAGGAAGAATAGCATAGATATTGTATTATAAATCAATTTGTATTTCTCTTTTGTCAAGCGTTGCTACTCTTCAAAAGTTGTGCCTGTATCAGACATTTTTTCCACATTTAATTCAAACTAGGATAACTTCCAAATGACCAGCAAATGCAAAGGTGTTCACTGACCAAAGGCAAAGACATCAAATTTAATATCTTTCCAGAGAACCGAAGCTGGAGAAAAAAAGTTTATGGAAGATATAGAGTAGATTAGCTTAGCTTCTGCGACAACATGTATACAATGTTTGTAATCCATGAAGAAGCTAAAGTTGAACCCCGTGCTCAGGCAGTGATGTCTAATTCTGTGTAAAGTTAATGTCAGTGTGACTAGAACATTGTGGAAAATGACACTTATATACATTTCAAGACATTTATTAGAGGAAATGTTTTGTTATGAGTGACTTACTCAGTCCTAAGAAGAAGTCACTGGTGGCAGAACATTTCCTCTAATAAGTGTCCCAAAAAAGTGTCTTTTTCCACATCTCGTCGGTATTACCATAAAATTTTACACTAGAACAGTGCTCATAGTAAATTGCTTTTGCATAACTTTGCAACTCATCCCAGTACAGTAGGACCCCCATATCCGCAGGGGATACACTCCGAGACCTACCGTGGATACCCAAAACCACAGATAATAGTAAACCCTATACATATTTAAGTAATTTTTTGTTTATGTACATCCCTATGATAAAGTTTAATTGATAAATTACACACAATAATTGAGAATTAGCACTTTTTTCACTGATGGGAAGCACTTTACGACTTCTTTTAGGCTTTGAAGAACTGCTACCATCATTACTTTTGCACTTTGGTGTCATTATTAAGCAAAATTAAGGATTATTTTTGGGCCGCTGTAAACTGCAGATAACTGAAACCATAGAAACCAAACCTGTGGGTATGCCAGTCCAGCTATAGTGATTTTTTTTTTTTCAACGAGTCGGCCGTCTCCCACCAAGGCAGGGTGACCCAAAGAGAAAGAAAATCCCCAAGAAGAAAATACTTTCATCATCATTCCACTTTTTTTTTTTCAACAAGTCAGCCATCTCCCACCAAGGCAGGGTGGACCAAAGAGAAGAAAATCCCAAAAAAAAATACTTTATCTCATTCAAACTTTCACATCATTCACGAAATCACTGTCTTTGCAGAGGTGCACAGAACTTCCACAGTTTAGGAAAGGTATATATAAAAAAATACACAAATATATCTCTCAAACTGCCAATATCTTGAACCCCTCCTTTAGAGTGCAGGCATTGTACTTCCCATTTCCAGGACTCAAGTCCGGTTATATAAAATAACTTACTTACTAACTATAGTGATGTTTCTGAATATTTCAGTTAGGTTTCTGGCTAAGAACAAAACTTCAAAGATTCAACCATTGGATCAAAATGAGATATGTATCCTAACTCTTCACTTATTTAGATATAACAGTTAACCTAACAGTATAATATTTCAAGGAAGTTACAATACACAAATTACCCGACATAGAAGAAAGAAACTTATGACGACGTTTTGGTCCGACTTGGACCATTAACTGGTCAAACACTAACACATGAAGGTAAGGGAGCTAATATATACGAGAGGAGGGCAGGGACAGGACGGGGCAAAGACAGGAGGAAGAAAGAAGCTAATGGAGATAATAAAAGGTTACACTAAGTGTATGTTTCAGGACTGAGATCTTTATGATAGAATTTTGTAACACCTGACATCTCCCACAGATAGGATGACTGAAACACAGGAAATACATTCATTCACTCATTCAATCACTGTCTTGCCAGATGTGTACAGATATCACAGTTGAGATGACCCTTCAGACTACAATATCTTCATCCTTCCTTATTATGACAAATTTAGGGACAATTATTTTCTTTCTGAAAGTATTATTTTCTCTGTAAGATTAATACGTGAACACCGCCCAGTAATATTCTCGGGTCTTGGAAGTGACCCCCAAGCACTAGGCAGTATCTGTCTCTTCATCATTCATCGTCTCTTCTGTTATTTTACAGAGCAAGACCAGTTATTCCGGCGTGTCAACGACATCCACGGACTGGTTCACAAACTACCAAAGACGAACTTCACTGTTCTCAAACTTTTAATTCAGCATTTAGTGAAGTGAGTATAGCCTATCTTTAGTGGTGAGTACATAACCTGTCTGTAGTGAGGTGAGTACATAACCTGTCTGTAGTGAAGTGAGTACATAACCTATATGTTTGTATTACAAGATGTCACTTCTGTCAGGTGCTCCCAGATTGTTATTACAGATTAAAATTATCACTGATGTAGATTATTATTTAATTTACATTCCTGCATTAGCAAAATGCTGTAAAGTGTAGCGCTGTAAAATGGGGCCCTCCCATGCTTGTTTATCTTATTTTTTTTTTTTTTTAACCTTTTTAAACACACCAACCATCTCCTGCCGAGGCAGGGTGACCCGTAAAGGGTTACCTTGTTTGGTACTTTATACAGGAGAAGGGGTTATTAACCCCCTTGCCTCTTATTTAATTCATATAATGAGTTATTTCTTCCATCATACATTTAGAATATAAATTGTATTTTCCATACAGTGTTGCCAACAAGAGTGAAAAGAACCTTATGACAGTAAGCAACCTCGGAGTGTGTTTTGGACCAACCCTGCTGCGACCAGAAGAAGAAACTGTTGCTGCCATCATGGATATTAAGTTTTGTAACATTGTGGTGGAAATCCTCATCGAACATTTTGAAAAGGTTAGTTACGGAGTCTTATCTGATTATCGTATGTTACACACATACAGTGGACCCCTGACCAACGAAGGCATCGTCTAACAATAAATTCGACTAATGAAGTGTTTGAGTGTAAAAATTTTGGCCCAACCAACGATGAAAAACTCAACCAACATGATTCGTCCTGAACCTGTCCGTCCAGCCTGAGCCAGCCTCAGCTGTCCTGCCATCAGCTGGTGTGCCATTGTTTACAAGCCAGGGCGGATGGTTCCATGCATACATTCAATGCATTTCGTATTATTCCATTGTTTTTAGTGCTTGTAACTGCTAAATAAGCCACATGGGCCCAAAGAAAGCTTCTAGTACTAACCCTTTGGTAAAAAGGGTGAGAAATAGTATCGAAATACTGTCGTACCACTGTCAGCTGCTGCTGATGTACCACGGTCAGTTGCTGCTGCACCACCATCAGCTGTACTACCAAAGATGTGGAGAGACTGTTGTTGGTGTGGCTTAATGAGAAACAATTAACCCCAGAGGGTTAGCCACCCAGGATTACCCAAGAAAGTCAGTGCGTCATCGATGACTGTCTAACTTATTTTCATTGGGGTCCTTAATTTTGTCCCCCAGGATGCGACCCACACCAGTCGACTAACACCCAGGTGAACATGAAAAAATGCCTGAAACTAGTAGTCATATTGGTGGATTTAAGGCCAGCAAAGGTTGGTTTGAGAGATTTAAGAATTGTAGTGGCATACACAGTGTGATAAGGCATGGTGAAGCTGAAAAATTCCAACCCCAACAAGTGTTCCATTGTGACAAAACAGGTCTGTTCTGGAAGAGCTCAGTTGACAGATTTTTGGTGTGACAGAGGTCCAGTGACTCTCAGGTTGTTCCAAATTAATACACCTCCATCTTCCCTCCTCATATCTCATCACTCATCATATCTTCAATAAAGGTAAGTGTCATTTATGCTTCATTTAGTACAGTACAGTATTTATTGTGCATGTATCCTTCTTTTTCTGTGTAGGAAAATGTATATTTCATATGGAATTTTTCTTTTTTTCATACTTTTGGGTGTCTGGAACGGATTAATTGGATTTCCATTATTTCTTGTGGGGAAAATTAATTTGACTAACGACAGGCTTTTTGGAACGGATTAATATCGTTGGCCGAGGGTCCACTGTATAATATTCAATATGAAAAAATTCCATTTTGAAAATGTTTGTCACAGAATTTTAGTCAGTTATTATGTGGCCTGGTGGCTAAAGCTCTTGCTTCACACAGCGAATGTCTGGGTTCAATTCCCGGTGAGGGTAGAAACATTGGGTGTGTTTTTTTTACACCGGTTGTCTGTGTTCACCCATCAGTGTGGGTCGCATCCTGGGACAACACTGATCTAATGTGCCTGAAATGCTCATCATAACAAACGGCTTTCTATATATTAGTATGTCATTGATGTCAGCTAGGCTTGTATACCTTGTACTTGTAGAAATAAAGACATTCTATTATTATTATTACTATTATTATTATTATTATTATTATTATTATTATTATTATTATTATTATTATTATTATATTAAAAAATTCCTTCAGTATTTCATAGCATTAATACTTCATATAGGACACTAATATGGGAAAATCTTTCATTATGTTAAAAATTCCCAGATAAGCATTAAAATACTCTATGTGTACCTAACAGTACTGTACACACACAGTTTATTAAAAGTACAATTTAACCAGTGGATTTTGTCTGTTATTGCATAAGTTCAATGTACCAAGGTCTGTTGTATTAAAAATTTACTTATATAAATACAGTTTTATAGGATTTAGCATGAAAGTTAAGACACATGTGCAACATCTGGGTATCTTTATTGTAGACGTTTCGCCATCCAGTGGCTTTATCAATACAGATTCTAGGACATAACTCGAAGACAGTAGAACTATATACAAAAGATGAGGTAATCAGTCCCTCAGCCTTGGAGTTGGTGTTGAGAGCATCGTGTTGGTAGAGATTCTGGAGCAAAGGCAAGGAGACTGGCGTTTATATAGGCATCAGTGGATAGGGATGTGAAGCAGACGAGGGCATAGTTACTGGTAGGCGGGATTTCCCAGTGGAAGTAGGTCCTTCCCAAGGGGATGGGTTAGTTGTAGTAGCCGTGAAGGTCTTGTAGATGCCCTCTGAACCAAGATTCCATGATGTTACAGTGTTTGACAGGATTTAGCATGACATTTATAGGTAATGTTGTGTACTGTTTGGTTCAGTAGAATGAGGAATTGTCACGATACTATGGTCATGCCGAGCAAATAGGTAATACATACAGTAATAGGTAATAGAGGAATAGGTAATTCAGTAATAGGTAATAGAGTGATGGGTAATTCAGTAATAAGTACAGTTTGGGTGTTAATCTGGTTCCATCACTAACTTGGTACTAATTTTGGTTAGTGTAATTTCAAATTTAGCAGTTGGGTTAAGTGTATTCTAACCTAACCACACTGTGATCTAGTAATATCACTAATCCAGCACCCTACAAGTCCCAGTCATGTTGGTCGACCTGTAATAAAGTACAGTAGGACCCTTGTATCCATGAAGGATAAGTTCCAAGGACCTGCTGTGGATACCAAAACCATGGATAGTAGCAAACCATATATATATAAATCCTATACATACCTACTATAAAGTTTAATTGATGAAGTATGCACGACAAGGGGAGAATTATCACTTTTTCATTGATAAGAAGTGCTTAACGGCTTCTCTTAGGCTTTGAAGAACTGCCAGCTTTTTACTTTTGTGCTTTGGGGGCCATTATTATGCAGAATTAAGAGGTATTTTTGGACTACAGTGAACTGTGGATAACTGAAACTGCTGATACAAAATCACTGGATATGGGTGGTTCTACTATAATAGGTAATTCAGTAATAAGTAAAAGAGTAATACTGGTGTGAGAAATATTTGTCACACTCGATAGAAACGCAGTAGCAGTTTTTACATCACAGAGCAGCACTCAGTAATGCAGTAGCTTATACATTACATACACATTAATAGCGTTGCCTTAACATTTGCCAACAGATTTTCGGTTCTCAGCCAGAGCCACTCATAGACGTGACCAGGCTCGGAGACCCGTCGACTGCCTCGAGTCGGCAGACTCCGCCCAAGCCCTCTCCTCCGCCCTCTGCTAACAATCACGCGGCATCTGGCGGTTCCCAGTCCTCCACTCACAACCACACTTCTGCCTCGTCTGTCTCCTCCACTCACTCTAAGCATCCTCCAGTCTTACAGGTGAATTTATTGTCGTGAATGATGTTGAATGTGTTTTCAGTGGGAGATGGCTAGTGTGTCAAAAACATAAAAACAAAACACATACATGTATTAATATTAATAATATTTTTTTTTTCAACACTGGCCGTATCCTACCAAGGCAGGGTGACCTAAAAAGAAAATTAAATTTTTTTAAATTTAGTAATTTATACAGGAGAAGGGGTTACTAGCCCCTGTTTTTTAGTCACCTCTTATGACATGCATGGCTTATGGAGAAAGAATTCTGATAATAATATTAATAATAATAAGCCGTAGTGTTTTTTGGGTAAGGCAATGTGTTGTATGCTAGGCCTGCCAGGCCTACAGCCAGACGAGAGAAAATTGAGAGCGCTTCCAGCTGCTAGGGACGTCTGGCTATTAGTGAGAACTAGCCAGGGTGTCGTGGAGTGAGCTCTAGGTAGGACTACACCCATACTGGATTGCAGCACTTGCCTAGTAGCATGAGCACGAAATATAAAACCCAATTGTGGCTATACAGGTTTATCAGTACAATTCAATTTGAGTGGCAGGTTTGTCAATACAATTCTGAGTGGTAGGTGTGTCAGTATATTTCATTCAGAGTAGCAGGTGTGCCAATACAATTCATTCTGAGTGGCAGGTGTGTCAATATAATTCATTCTGAGTGGCAGGTGTGTCAATATAATTCATTCTGAGTGGCAGGTGTGTCAATATAATTCATTCTGAGTGGCAGGTGTGTCAATATAATTCATTCTGAGTGGCAGGTGTGTCAATATAATTCATTCTGAATGGCAAGTTTGTCACAACAGTTCTGTGTTTATTTTCATTACATTCTACACTTTCTGAATAATTTTCAAAACATTCTTCACATTCAGACATGAATCCATCACATAATTTGTGCACTTTTAGTTAATTCTTAATAGTAATTAGGAAAGTAAAATATTGTATTTACAACTAGGTCTTGGATAGTGTGAATATTGAATTTCATGAAGTGGTCGCATCATTTGAATTTGCACTATTCGAATTATACGATTTGAAAAGTTTGGGGGAAAATCACCAATAATCAATTTTGTACTAAAGCAAAATTTGTACTGTTCAATCTCACAGTAATTGATATGTAGCTGCATTTACAGTATTCTCTAAATTTTACCTTAAAGAAGTAGGAAGGTGGTAAGATAAGTGAAGTTATGGATGATATTTGTTTAAATTAAGATGGTTATATGTGTGCATGACCGATAGAATACGTATTTGTGCAAAGTTTAACACCAGACATTGATGCATTTAATAGAACCGTGATATGTGCTACTATTAAAAACCATAAACCACTTTGAACACCACCTTAAGGGATTTCTTTCTTTTAGAAGGTTGTGACATCCTTCACTACAAGTGAACCCCAGACAGTACACTTTGGTGCACCGTCCAGTCTTCCGTCACACTTGCAACGTTCCGACGCACTCTCTAACCTTAAAGCCCAGACATCAACGTCAGGTGCTTATGCAAACATGCCCCCACCACCGTCTGCCACACACCATTGGAATAATACATCATCGGTATCTAGTCTTAACTCAGGTATGTGGTTAAACACACGAATGGCAGTTTTTATAGTTTGCTGTACTGGGGTAGTTAATGTTTATATAATTTACTATACAGGGTAGTTAATGTTTATATAATTTACTATACAGGGTAGTTAATGTTTATATAATTTACTGTATATGGTAGCTTATGTTTATATAATTTGCTGTACAGGGTAGTTGATGTTTATATAATTTACTGTACAGGGTAACTAATGTTTATAATTTACTGTACAGAGTAGTTAATGTTTATATAATTTACTGTACAGGGTAGTTAATGTTTATATAATTTAGTGTACAGGTAGTTAATGTTATCGTTTCCTCTCTAGCTTAGCTAAGCTTCGTCCCTGGGAGTCTCCCTATTCATTATTACCTATTATTGACTTTTTTCTTTTGAATTTATTGCAAATAAATGCTGAAGGGAAGACACTTATGACGATGATTTATTCCATCCTGAACAAATGTTAATTGACAAGTGACTTGACAGTTGTCCAGGATGGACCAAAACATCATGAAAAATAAGACACTTGTGAAAATTTGGGAATCTTTATTGAGGAAATGTTTCACCACCAGTCCATTATTCACACTAAAACATCATACCTTTCCTCTTGTGTTTAAACCACACTGTTGTGGCATCTCGAGTTACGAACTTAATTCGTTCCAGAAGGCTGTTTGAGTGCCGATACCGAATGAATTTGTTCCCATAAGAAATAATGTAAATTAGATTAGTCCATTTCAGACGCTCAAAAACACACTTACAAAAGCATTTACAAAAATACACTTATGTAATTGTTCGAGTTGGAAGCTCTATGAAACTCGAGGTACCACTGTATTGTGGCATTTTTATTATTTGGAATTTATGTGAGTTTGCTTGTGTTGCTTCATCTAGTGTTGAAAAATAATCTATACTTTAGAGAGGAAACTCTAGACGATGTTTTGGTCTATCCTGGATGGTTATTATATCACCAGAATTGTGATTTGGTAATAGTTTAGGTTGGACCAAAACATCATTTGTAGTTTGGGTTACTGTATTTGTGAGATGTTCCAGACATATCAAGGTAAAGAATTAAAAGACACAGTACTGACGGTGTAGATCATCATAAGCTTCTCTCTCCTATGTGTGGGTTGTTTGTTTATAGTATTGTACCTTTAATACTTGTTGGATATTGTCTAGTGTGTAATAAATTATTCCTTGGCATAAATTTTTAATTTTTTAAAGAATGAAAAGGCACAGTACCATGACTGGAACAATACACAAATTACCCGCACATAGGAATGAAACTTATGATGACGTTTCGGTCCAACTTGGACCATACATTTCATTATTCTATGTGTGGGTTATTTGTGCTTTAAATTTTTTGCTAGTAAACCCTAAAAGAAAATGTTTTTAATGCCTACATATAATCCTATAACTAATTTTTTTGCAGGCCTAAACTCAGGGCTAAATTCCCATAGCTCACTTGTGTCATTAAGCTCATCAGTGGCAGGGTCTATTGCCATGAGCGGGGCTTTTGAAACAGTTCAAAACAGTCGGCCTGCGCGCCCTCCAGCTCCTTCTAATGGTCAGTCCAGAGCAGGGACAGCTTTGTCCTTTGTCAATCCTCTGTCTGGTACGTCAACTGTGTTGTATTGTTAACATATTGTTGGGTTATAAATTTTCGGTTTGTGTGTTAGATTTGTGACCTCTCATCATAAAACATGACCCTTTTATCATTCCTTGAAATTCTATGGCTGATTGTCTATATGTTTTCTGATAAGAGATTTTTCAGTGCTTATTGATGAACATTATATATGTTTTCTAAGAGATTTTTAATACATAAAAATTAACATTATAAAAATACAAATATATAACCATGAGTGTTTCATTTTTATCTACATTATTATTCAAATGCATAACTTTGGCAGGAGGAGGTGGAGGGGGATTTTGAGTGGTAGGGGCTTGAACATCCAGCAGGCTTGTTTCTTTCTTAGTCTTTTATGTTCTCTTTCTGTGTTTGTTCTTTTAGCTCTTTTCAGTGGGAAATATTTTAAAAATATTTTATAATGTCAGAGTGCCTTGTCTAAGCATGCTTGATGTGGAGTGAGTGGAGACAGGTGGTTTTTGTGACTTGATGTGCTATTGGAGTGTGAATTAAGTAAAATTTTTGAAGGGATTCAGGGAAACTGGTTAGTTGGACTTAAGTCTTGGAGGTGGGAAGGATAGTGCCTGCACTCTGAAAGAGAGGTGAGGATGTAAGTCTTGGAGGTGAGAAGGATAGTGCCTGCACTCTGAAGGAAGAGTGAGGATGTAAGTCTTGGAGGTGGGAAGGATAGGGCCTGCAGTGGAGGGAGCAGTTAGGACTTTAAACTAGGAATAGTTAGTGGTATGGGTTTTGGCAGGAAAATAGTGAAGTCCCAGTGTAGTAATATTACGAGTTCTAGGGGAACTAGTAATAATAAGAACGAGGTAGATATTGAAAAGCCAGGGACCTTGGGTGATAAGGACAGTAATAGGTTTAGTAGAAAAATAGAAATGAGCAGGAAGGGTAAAGAGAAAGGAGAGTCTTTCAATGTTTATTATGCTAATTGCCGTAGTGCTAGGAATAAGATGGACGAGTTGAGATTAGTTGCTAGTGCAGATAACATTGATGTATTTGCCTTAACTGAGACGTGGTTTAATTCAAAAAGTCGGGACATGCCTGCGGAATGTCATATTCCCGGGTTTTAAATTGTTCCAAGAAGATAGAAGTATTGGGAGGGGGGGTGGGGTGGCATTGTATGTCCGAGATCGCTTGAGCTGTTGCATAAAAACGGGTATTAAGTCTGAAGTAACACATACAGAGTCTGTTTGGATAGAATTTTCAGAGGGGCATGAAAAACTGATTTTAGGAGTGATATACCGTCCCCCAAACTTAGATAGGGACCAAGGGAAACTACTATGGGAGGAAATTGTTAAGGCCACAAGGCACGATAATGTAGTAATTCTAGGAGACTTTAACTTTAGTCATGTTGATTGGAATTTCTTGACTGGGAATTTAGAATCATACGACTTCTTAGAAGTATTTCAGGATTGTTTTTTGAAGCAGTTTGTGACAGAACCTACAAGGGGAAATAACCTGCTTGACTTAGTTTGGCAAACAATGAATCCCTTGTTAATAATTTAGAAATTTCAGAGGAACTGGGTGCTAGCGACCACAAATCAATTACATTTAGCATTGAATGGAAGTATGATAGTAGGGATAACTCAGTAACAGTCCCAGATTTTCGCTTAGCAGATTACGATGGGCTTAGAGAACACTTATCATCTGTTGACTGGGGTAACGAAGAGAGCTATCAATATGACAGTTTTCTGAACACTATACATGCTGCTCAAAGAGCGTTTATCCCATATAAAGAAATTAGATCAAATAGAAATGACCCAAAATGGATGAATAATAGGCTCAAATATCTACTAGGGCATAAGAAAGGAATTTATAGGCGTATCAAAAGAGGTGAGGGTCATCTTATGAATCAGTATATTGACATTAAGAGGGACATTAAAAAGGGGATAAGAAAAGCTAAAAGGGACTATGAAATTAAAGTTGCTAGGGATTCTAAAACTAACCCAAAAAGTTTTTTCCAGGTCTATAGAACAAAAGTTAGAGATAAGATAGGTCCCCTTAAAAATAACTATGGGCACCTTACTGACAAAGAGAATGAAATGTGCTTGATTTTAAATAATTATTTTCTCTCAGTTTTTACACAGGAAGACACTAACAATATTCCAGTAATTAATTTTTACAGTGGGCTAGAAGAAGATAAATTATGTAACATCACAGTCACTAGTGAGATGGTTGTGAAGCAGATAGACAGACTGAAGCAAAATAAGTCGCCGGGTCCTGATGAGGTTTTTTCAAGGGTTCTTAAGGAATGCAAAATGGAACTCTGTGAACCATTAACTAATATTTTTAATTTATCTCTTCAAACAGGTGTAGTGTCTGATATGTGGAAGATGGCTAATGTAATTCCTATTTTTAAAACAGGGGACAAGTCGTTACCGTCAAATTACCGCCCAATAAGCCTGACCTCAATTGTAGGCAAATTACTAGAGTCAATTATAGCTGAGATTATAAGAAGCCATCTCGATAAGCATAGCTTGATTAATGATACTCAGCATGGATCCACAAGAGGCCGGTCTTGTCTAACTAATTTATTAACTTTCTTCAGTAAAGCTTTTGAGGCTGTTGACCACAATAAAGAATTTGATATTATTTACTTAGATTTTAGTAAGGCTTTTGATAGAGTTCCGCACCATAGACTGTTAAAGAAAGTGGCAGCTCATGGCATTGGGGGAAAAGTGCTCTCGTGGATTGAGTCATGGGTCACTGACAGGAAGCAGAGAGTGTCCATAAATGGGGTTAAATCCGAGTGGGGATCTGTAACAAGTGGCGTTCCACAGGGATCAGTCTTGGGCCCGTTGTTGTTTATAATATATATCAATGATCTTGATGAGGGAATTACTAGTGATATGAGCAAATTCGCCGATGACACAAAGATAGGTAGGATAATTGATTCAAACGTAGATGTTATGGAACTTCAGGAGGATTTAAACAAACTCTATTCTTGGTCAGAAAAGTGGCAGATGCAATTCAATGTAGATAAATGCAAGGTTCTGAAGCTTGGGAGTGCCCATAACCCTAGTACTTATAAGTTAAATGATGTAGAACTTAGCCATACAGATTGCAAAAAGGACTTGGGGGTTATGGTGAGCAGCAACCTTAAACCAAGACAGCAATGCCTAAGCGTACGTAATAAGGCAAATAGATTACTGGGATTTATATCAAGAAGTGTAAGCAACAGAAGTCCAGAGGTCATACTGCAGCTTTATACATCATTAGTAAGGCCTCACCTAGATTATGCAGCTCAGTTCTGGTCTCCGTATTACAAAATGGACATAAATTCATTAGAAAACACTCAGCGTAGGATGACTAAATTAATACATAGCATTAGAAATCTTCCTTATGAAGAAAGATTGAAGACTCTTAACTTACATTCACTTGTTAGACGAAGAATGAGGGGAGACCTGATCGAAGTATATAAGTGGAAGATAGGTATTAATAAAGGGGATATTAATAAGGTCTTGAGGATGTCTCTCCAAGAGAGAACCTACAGTAATGGATTTAAATTAGATAAGTTTAGATTTAAAAAGGACATAGGAAAGTATTGGTTTGGAAATAGGGTAGTAGATGAGTGGAACAGTCTACCTAGTTGGGTTATTGAGGCTAGGACTTTGCGTAGTTTCAAATCTAGGTTGGATAAGTACATGAGTGGGAGGGGTTGGATTTGAGTGGGACTTTCACATCAGAGTTTATTTCTTGGGTGGCATTGAAAATTGGGTTGGTCAAATGTTTTGTTAGTGGGATGAATTGTAAAGGACCTGCCTAGTATGGGCCAGCAGGCCTGCTGCAGTGTTCCTCCTTTCTTATGTTCTTGCACTCTGAAGGAAGAGTGAGGATGTAAGTCTTGGAGGTGAGAAGGATAGTGCCTGCACTCTGAAGGAAGAGTGAGGATGTAAGTCTTGGACATGAGAAGGATAGTGCCTGCACTCTGAAGGAAGAGTGAGGATGTAAGTCTTGGAGGTAGGAAGGATAGTGCCTGCACTCTGAAGGAAGAGTGAGGATGTAAGTCTTGGACATGAGAAGGATAGTGCCTTCACTCTGAAGGAAGAGTGAGGATGTAAGTCTTGGACATGAGAAGGATAGTGCCTGCACTCTGAAGGAAGAGTGAGGGTGTAAGTCTTGGACATGAGAAGGATAGTGCCTGCACTCTGAATGCAGGGTGAGGATGTAAGTCTTGGAGGTGGGAAGGATAGTGCCTGCACTCTGAAGGAGGGATGAGAATGTTGCAGTTCAGAAGGATATCTGGACTGTGATATCACCATTCTTTTGGCAAGACAGTAATTAAATGAACAACAGTGAATGCATTTCCTCTTTTTTTAGGGTTACCCTACTTGAATGAGAGAGGTCCAGTGTATTAAAGAAATATACGTAACTGGCACTGCAACTCGGATTTCAGTGACTAAATATTATGTGAATGGGAATTAAGAGTGTAGCATTCTTAATTCATCTTGTTCTTATTTATTTCATTTCATCTCCATGGGGAAGTGGAAAGAATCTTTCCTCCATAAGCCATGACTGTCGTAAGAGGCGACTAAAATACTGGGAACGAGGGGCTAGTAATCCCTTTTTCTGTATACATTACTAAATGTAAAAAGAAGATGAACTCTATAGTTTCCTTCTTTTTTGAGTCACCTGCCTCGATGGGAGATGACTGGTATATTGAAAAATAAAGTGATATCATTCTTTAAAAAAGAATGATTGAGAGAAAAAAGAAAATACTTTTGTTTTCAAGGGAAAATTCAATTTTAATGATGGTGTCTTTATTTATATCATGCCGGCCATCTCCCACCAAGGCAGGGTGACCTGAAAAAGAAACACTTTCACCATCATTCACACTATCACTGTCTTGCCAGAGATGTGTAGGTACTACAGTTCATATGTCACTCCAAACTGCCAACATTCCCACCGCTCCTCCTTTGATGGTTTCTGTATAGGCATGTAGTGGAAGTTAGTCTGTGTCATACCATATATCAGAGTCAGTTGAGCTTTTACAGTGACACTGACTATCTAGAAATTTAAAAATCTTCAGAAAATAGTGGCGACTTCGATTTTTTTTTTTAAATCACTATTTACTAAATTGGAACAAGTATACGTTTTAGTTTTAAGGTAGATTTTTTATCTTAAATGTTTAACTCTTTCTATGAATCATGTATTCCAGTTAAGTCATTTTTGTTCATTTATTCCAGATCGAAATGATGGAGTACAGAGCACAAGTAGTTCAAGCGAGTCGTTATCATCGCGGTCGTCGCGAGAGCTAACACAGCCACCCTCCAACTCCCTCTCCTCCTCCCCGCAGACAAGTAAGAGGCTTCCTCATGTTGTGGCACCCCCGCCGCTGGGTGCTAACGGCCCTCACCGAGACATCCGTTTGCAGCAGGCAAACTATTATGCGTATAACAGCAGTACGTCACGCCGCTTTTGCTCGCACTTGTCCCTCCACCTTCTCTTCGCTAGTATCTCTGTTCGGAAAATGAATGCCTCCCTTTAAATCGTCTTATTAATTTCCTCTACTTCTCGTATTGATAAATTACCAGTAGAACAATGAATGGTAAATCTCCATATTGTCTGATGGAATTTTGTCAAACTGTATTTATTATATATAATGCATTTAAAAGCTTCTGCTTCCTTTAAATCTAAAATATTCTTACTTTCCTTCATTACAAGTTTAAAGTTTAATTTAATTATCAATTGATGTTCTTCATATCCCTTACATTTAAGTTTTTGGTATTAAAATCTTAAATATGACACATGTGTGATTGGTATTTAAGGTTTAAATACTAAATACCAAATTCTGCATGGAGCTGTTTTCATTAAGATAGCCTTTCCTTCTGATAAATTCCTGAAGAACAAAAAAGTTACAATACCGTGACTAAAACAACACACAAATAACCCACATATAGGAGAGAGAAACTTATGACGACGTTTTGGTCCGACCTGGACTATTGACTAGTCGCACACTGACTAGTGGCTAGTTAATGGTCCAATCTGGACTATTAACTAGCCACACACTGACTGGTGGCTAGTTAATGGTCCAAGTTGGACTATAAACTTCATACATAGTTATTTGTGTAAATTCTTGAAAGCTATAAAGCTTCTGAATAATTTATCAGTAAATAAGAGACCTCCATCAGACTCACTGGAGTGAACATTACAATACAGTACACACACACATTTCATTTTTTTAAATCAAACTCATCAGCTCTCTTACATAATTCTTTATCTAGTGACGCTTTGTTTTGTAAATGTAGTTAAAAAAATATATTAGAAATTGAATATCATGTGAAAAGGCCTTTGTAGTTTCATCTACTTAATTTTGGATATACAGTGGACCCGCGCTTAACGATCACCTCCAAATGCGACCAATTATGTAAGTGTATTTATGTAAGTGCGTTTGTACGTGTATGTTTGGGGGTCTGAAATGGACTAATCTACTTCACAATATTCCTTATGGGAAAAAATTCGGTCAGTACTGGCACCTGAACATACTGGAATGAAAAAAGTTCGTTAACCGGGGGTCCACTGTAGTATTATTTTCAGCCCTCTTTACAAACAAAATAAAAAAAACGCACTGTATGGAGGAGCTTTTAAAACCCTTAAACTGTCCAACATGGGATCACATTGACGTGCGTAAGTGCTCAGAACATAGTTTACATTTATTTTACTGCTTTTAAATGTAATAAAACGTAGTCTATGTTGGCACACTACGTTGTGAACGGGGATCTACTTTTGGACAGTTAACGGTTAAAGAGAAATTATTGTACGTATTCAGTTCCTACATTAGTGTGTCCTTATCCCATGAAAAATTAATATGAGGATGATTCGAGGACTTTTTTCTTTACACATCGGCAGTTTCCCACTGAAGCAAGGGGAACAACCACCTTCATACAGGGGGAACAACCAACTTCATACAGGGGGAACAACCACCTTCATACAGGGGGAACAACCACCTTCATACAGGGGAACAACCACCTTCATACGGGGAACAACCACCTTCACAGGGGACAACCACCTTCTACAGGGGAACACCACCTTCATACAGGGGAACAACACCTCCTCAGGGGAACAACCACCTTCATACAGGGGGAACAACCACCTTCATACAGGGGGAACAACCACCTTCATACAGGGGGAACAACCACCTTCATACAGGGGGAACAACCACCTTCATACGGGGAACAACACCTTCATACAGGAGAACAACCCCTCATACAGGGGAACACACCACATACAGGGAACAACCACTTCTTTTTACAGAACACCACACTTCATACAGAACAACCACTTCTACAGGGGAACAACCACCTTCAACATGGAACAACACCGTCATACAGGGCGAACACCACCTTCATACAGGGGACAACCCCCTTCATCCCCCAAGGGACAACCACCTTCATACAGGGAACAACCCCTTCATACAGGGGGAAACAACCCCTTCCAATACAGGGAACAACACCTTCATACAGGAACACCACCTTCATACAGGGAAACAACACTTCATACACGGGGAACCCACTTCATACAGGGGGCACCACCTTCTACAAAACAACCACTAAAAACACCCCTTCATGGGGAACACCCTTAAACGGTGGAACAAACACCTACATACGGGGGAACAACCACTTCATACAGGGAACAACACCTTCATCAGGGGAACAACACCTTCATACAGGGGAAACAACCACCTTCCATACATGGGAACAACCACCTTACATAGAGGGGAACAACCACCTTCCCTACAGGGGGAACAACCACCTTCATACAGGGGAACAACCACCTTCATACAGGGGAACAACCACCTTCATACAGGGGGAACAACCACCTTCATACAGGGGGAACAACCACCTTCATACAGGGGAACAACCACCTTCATACAGGGGGAAACAACCCACCTTCATACAGGGGGAACAACCACCTTCATACAGGGGGAACAACCACCTTCATACAGGGGGAACAACCACCTTCATACAGGGGGAACAACCACCTTCATACAGGGGGAACAACCACCTTCATACAGGGGGAACAACCACCTTCATACAGGGGGAACAACCACCTTCATACAGGGGGAACAACCACCTTCATAAAAGGGGGAACAACCACCTTCATACAGGGGAACAACCACCTTCATACAGGGGGAACAACCACCTTCATACAGGGGAACAACCCCCTTTCATACAGGGTGAACAACCACCTTCATACAGGGGGAACAACCACCTTCATACAGGGGGAACAACCACCTTCATACAAGGGGAACAACCACCTTCATACAGGAGGGAACAACCACCTTCATACAAGGGGAACAACCACCTTCATACAGGAGGAACAACCACCTTCATACAAGGGGAACAACCACCTTTATACAAGGGGAACAACCACCTTCATACAAGGGTAACAACCACCTTCATATAAGGGGAACAACCACCTTCATACAGGAGGAACAACCACCTTCATACAAGGGGAACAACCACCTTTATACAGAGGAACAACCACCTTCATACAAGGTAACAACCACCTTCATACAGGGGAACAACCACCTTCATACAAGGGGAACAACCACTTCATACAGGGTAACAACCACCTTCATACAAGGGGAACAACCACCTTCATACAGGAGGAACAACCACCTTCATACAAGGGGAACAACCACCTTTATACAAGGGTAACAACCACCTTCATACAAGGGTAACAACCACCTTCATACAAGGGGAACAACCACCTTCATACAGGGGGAACAACCACCTTCATACAAGGGGAACAACCACCTTCATACAGGAGGAACAACCACCTTCATACAAGTGTAACAACCACCTTCATACAGGGGAAACAACCACCTTCATACAAGGGGAACACCCACCTTCATACAAGTGTAACAACCACCTTCATACAAGGGTAATAACCACCTTCATACAAGGATAACAACCACCTTCATACAAGGTAACAAACCACCTTCATAGAAGGGTAACAACCACCTTCATACAAGGATAACAACCACCTTCATACAAGGATAACAACCACCTTCATAGAAGGGTAACAACCACCTTCATACAAGGATAACAACCACCTTCATACAAGGGTAACAACCACCTTCATACAAGGGTAACCCTTCATACAAGGGTAACAACCACCTTCATACAAGGATAACAACCACCTTCATACAAGGGTAACATCCACCTTCATACAAGGGTAACAACCACCTTCATACAAGGGTAACAACCACCTTCATACAAGGGGAACAACCACCTTCATACAGGGGGAACAACCACCTTCATACAAGGGGAACAACCACCTTCATACAGGAGGAACAACCACCTTCATACAAGTGTAACAACCACCTTCATACAAGGATAACAACCACCTTCATACAGGGGGAACAACCACCTTCATACAAGGGGAACACCCACCTTCATACAAGTGTAACAACCACCTTCATACAAGGGTAATAACCACCTTCATACAAGGATAACAACCACCTTCATACAAGGATAACAACCACCTTCATACAAGGGTAACAACCACCTTCATACAAGGATAACAACCACCTTCATACAGGGGGAACAACCACCTTCATACAAGGGGAACACCCACCTTCATACAAGTGTAACAACCACCTTCATACAAGGGTAATAACCACCTTCATACAAGGATAACAACCACCTTCATACAAGGATAACAACCACCTTCATACAAGGGTAACAACCACCTTCATACAAGGGTAACAACCACCTTCATACAAGGATAACAACCACCTTCATACAAGGGTAACAACCACCTTCATACAAGGATAACAACCACCTTCATACAAGGGTAACAACCACCTTCATAGAAGGGTAACAACCACCTTCATAAGAGGGGAACAACCACCCTCAAACGAGGGGAACAACCACCCTCATACGAGGGGAACAACCACCCTCATACAAGGGGAACAACCACCCTCATACAAGGGGAACAACCACCCTCATACGAGGGGAACAACCACCCTCATACGAGGGGAACAATCACCCTCATACGAGGGGAACAACCACCCTCATACGAGGGGAACAACCACCCTCTTTAACGAGGGGAACAACCACCCTCATACGAGGGGAACAACCACCCTCATACGAGGGGAACAACCACCCTCATACGAGGGGAACAACCACCCTCATACGAGGGGAACAACCACCCTCATACGAGGGGAACAACCACCCTCATACGAGGGGAACAACCACCCTCATACGAGGGGAACAACCACCCTCATACGAGGGGAACAACCACCCTCATACAGGGGAACAACCACCCTCATACGAGGGGAACAACCACCCTCATACGAGGGGAACAACCACCCTCATACGAGGGGAACAACCACCCTCATACGAGGGGAACAACCACCCTCATACGAGGGGAACAACCACCCTCATACGAGGGG